AGCATAAGTGATTTTTGTGTTTAGCCTTGGGTTCCATCCCCAAGATGGATGTATATGCAAAGCTTCTAAAATCTGAAAAAAGACAAAAAACTGAAACACTCCTGGACCGAAGCATTTCGGATAAGGAATATTCAACTTGTATATAGTAAGACCTTACTATTTTTTGTCCAGAATTTCCCATTCCTGAACCACACTGTTTAAGGAAAGGTGACAAATTGATACTTAAAGTCATATAGACTAAACAAAATACCACAGAAACAATTTTGGAATCAACATCTTTATGCAACTTATTACAGAGTGAAATTGAAACCCTTATAGCTTCGAAGAAACAGAAGTATATGATATTGGTATCACGAAATGTTCTGGTTTTCCGATATATATATTACATGTCTCAACATTTTTTTTTAAATTAGCTATAAGCTTTTCCTTTATGTCAAGTTGAAAAGAGTAAGGTTACAATGAAAAGCTGAATCAATAGAAGAAACTACCTTTGACATCAATACCATGAATTTCAATATCCATCATGGGTCAGTAACAAAAGCTAGAAGCTTTTAAAGGCATTTTATTACAGTTTGCAAACCCAAGATAACAGCAGCACATTAACAATTCAAACATTACAGGCATGTCAGAGCATTAAGAAATTACTATAGCACTAATCTTATCAGTTATAGAAAATTTATATCCACAGGGACACCATTTGAATACACTGGGGAGCTTCAAACATGGTACTATTCTAGTGAAAAGAAAAAAAATGACAAAGGAGAAAAAAAATCTTTCCAAATGAGCCTAGAAAGACAATATGACAAAAGACTCCAGGCAAATATCACACTAACAACCTATGTGAAATAAAACACTTTGTTGACAAAAAGAAAATGATAGTTCTCACCTTCTTTGCTTGGCGTTAAGGGAATGTAAGGTATCACCTGCTTGGAATGTCCCAGAAGAAAGAGCTAACTTGAGGAACTGAAAAAATATGCCTGCTGGAGTGAACCATATGGCATAGTATAATGTTTTTCAAAGTGTGGCCCAGGTGTACATGGAATTATTTTTTATGAGGTCAAGAGAAAAGTGTGTGTGGGTGTAATCTTCTATTTATATCTGATGGTACTGATTTTCCACTTCTGGCAGCAATCTAATTCTTTGTTTTTAATATATGTATCTCATATAAAAAGTGATTCTACTTACGAAGGAATCAGACTCCCTCCACAACCCCATGCAGTAAGGTGACTGGCCTTCCCTAACTTACTTTAAAAGTCTGGAAGTTTTTTCTTTGGTTTAATCTTTGTTCTTGTGAAGACTAAGCATGAGTGATATCAAATGAAAAAAGAGTAAGTAAAATAATGATTGCAATAAAAACCATCTATCTTCCCTCACTCAGCTCCCAGGCAGTCAAGCATTCACCAACCGGGCAGGAAGTTGGACAAGTCTTCTTTTAAAATATGACCAGCCAAAGAGGAAAAACAAAGATACTGAACATCACAGAGTTCTTAATTAAAAAGCCTAGTCAGTCAGATGACCCTATTTTGAAGTCAACAAGACTCACTCATGCATTCAAATCAGCTTCTAATACCCACATTTTTAAATATGAATAAACACCCAAAGATTATCAGACATCTGAGAAAAGCTTTTAACATGAAAGAAACTTATTTAAAAAGAAAAAAGAGAGAATGGAGTACCTTGAAAGAAACAGATTATGTAAAGAGAAGGAAATTTCAACAACTTAAAAAGAAATTAAAATCTTCAGAGAAAAAAATAAAACCATGAAATAAAACATGATGTTATAAAAGGGAACACACAGGAAATTTTTTTAAGTGCTTGAAAACAAAAAATATGATAGCAGAAATTAAAAGTAATGAATAGACTGAAAGATGAAATTGAAAGTAGAACAGAAATACAATTCAGTAAAACATGAAGTTAAAAAAAAAATACAAGGTATTTTTTAAAGTACTTGAAAATAATAAATATGGTAGTAGAAATTAAAAGTGATAGGTTGAAAGAAACAATTGAAAGTAGAACAAAAAAAATCCAGAGACTGAAAAAAAGGAGAAAACAGAGAGAGGTAATCATAAATGAAAAAATTGAAGAATGTTTCCCAGAACTGAAAACATGAATACCTAGACTGAAAAGGCCCACCAAGGTTCCACACAAAGTTTTAAAATGGCCCTCATCAAGGCATATCATCATGAAATTTTTTGATACCGGAAATTAAACATTCTATAAATTTTAAGAGAAAAATCACATAAGCCACATACAAAGGATTGGAAATCAAAATGGTGTCTGACTTGTCCATAGCAATCCTGCAAACTAGAAGAAATATAATCACTAAATCCAGGAAAAGTAAATGAGTTTTACAGGAAAAGAAGGTAATCATCATTCACTTCAACACTAAATATAAGTAGTATTTATATATCATGGTAGTGTAAGCCCTGAATATTGATCTGCTAATTCTAAAATATTACTTCTAGGTTGAAACATGTAAAATTATTGTTTTTGTACATTAAAAAAACTGCATTTGGTTCAATCTAATATATTAGAAACATGAGGAATAGGAAAGGGTGTGTGTGTGTGTGTGTGTGTGTGTGTGTGTGTGTGTGTGTGTTAGGGACCAAATAAGGGGCATCCTATGACTATTCCAAAAAAATTAAAAAGCAGCACAATAAATATGCTATTTTTATATGTATGGAGGCAAATATCAAAATAACAGATTAAAAGAGATAAATGTAACTGTCTCTGAGGAGATGTTTATAGGAGAAAAGGGGAGGTTAAGGATTTATTGTTGTTGTTGTTTTAAATAATAAACATTGCAAAATTATTTGATTCTTTACAGTATTATATACACCATTAAGACCTAGGCCAACATCATGGCTCACGTCTATAATTCCGCATCTATACTTTGGGAGGCAGAGGCAAGAGGATCACCTGATCCCAGGGGTTTGAGACCAGCCTGATCAATTTGGTGAGACCCAGTCTCAACAGTAAACTAAAAAATTAGCTGAGTGTCATGGTGTGTGCCTATGGGTCCAGCTACTTGGAAGGCTAAGGCAGAAGGATCACCTGAGCCCAGCAGGTAGAGGCTGCGGTAGCCATGAACATGCCACTACACTCCGGTCTGTGTGGCAGAGTGAAACTCAAACTCAAAAAAAAAAAAAAAATCCTAGAATAAACCAAACCTCTGATAATACATAAATTCAATTAAAAGATAAAGGGAAGGAGGAAGAAAGACAGAGTCTAGGATAGAGGGCCCAGATCTGAACTAAAGACTTATTAATGTCTCAAGAGGCACTTTCTGGAGATAGGAACACTATCTCCACCCACGCTTGTTACAGATAGGTCCTCTCAAGACCATTCTTCCTCCATAAATGAGATGAAAACTAGAGTGTGTGTAACTGTCCAACACTTACTTAACATTAACAGATTATTGAGTTATCTTTAAAACTAACAACAATCCAATTTTCTTTACCTCCTCTTTGGATGACGTGACATAAGCAACATTTTGTTCAATAATGGTCAGAGTCTTGACACTGGTGATGACATCAATAATACCAGAGCCTTTGTGTGTGTGTGTGTGTGTGTCAGTCCTGGCTGGAGTGCTGTGGCCCGCTCCTGGCCACCGCAGCCTCAAACGGCTGGGCTCAGGTGATCCTTCCACCTCAGCCTTCCAAGTAGCTGGAACTACAGGCACAGGCTACCATGTCCAGCTAATTTTTCTGATTTATTGTAGGGATGAGGTCTTGCCAAGTTGCCCAGACTGGTCTTGAACCCCTGGGCTCAAGTAATCCTCTTGCCTCCACCTCCCAAAGTGCTGGGATTACAGGTGTGATTCACCACACCCAGCCTATCATAGCCATTTAAAATACCACTTTGGGAGGTTCATTTTTAATGGTAAAAAAGAAAAAATAAAGAAACATATAAAACTGTTTTTTATAGAGCAAAATTACAATAATGGGAGCATGAGGGATGGGAAAGATGTTGTGTGTATGTATGGTAGAGACAGGAAAGGAGAACGCTAAGATTTTTTTGTAAGTTAAAAAAAAAAAAAAACAATTACTTCAGGTACCTTTGCTTACCCTATGAGTCAAAGACGTCTCTGTGATTCCAACACTCCCCCAGACCAACCCAATTACAAAGCCTGAAAAGAATATAACCTTGAGTACCTCTATCATTTATAAAAAAGATATCCCTTTCTCTAACCACTTATTTATACTGTAGAGACAACATTTGCTAAAGATTCTCCTTGATACTAAGAAATTACAGGCACATATTGAGTCACAAAATAATGCTATGACATATGATATTTCTCATTTATGTTCTTATCACTCTTTGTAAGAAATGACAGACTAATGTGTTCATAATCCACATGCATGAACAGCATTATTTTCTCAGTATCTTTCTAAAACAAACCAACTGCCCTGAGTATGAATAAGACCTGTAGTAAATATCTGATGACGAATTCATTCCCAACTTCCTAAATGGAATACCTCAGATTTCCAGACCTTTAAGATTATTTTATTTTCATTAAACAGCATTTATCAGCCACCTAATGCCAAGGCACTTTCTAAAACACCACAAAAGCAAAATCCCTGCCATTAAGGTACCTGAACCCTATCCTTTATTAAGGGAGACAATAAAATAAAAAATAGATATTGCTGACATTTCAATATGAAGGAAATAGGAAGTTATAATAAACTGTGGGAACAAGAGAAGAGGACAAGAAAATCTTCTTGGGTGGTCAAGTCAGAAAAAAATAACTCTCTTAAGAAGTCAAGAGAGACGCTTTCAGAACAAGGATTATAGCTTGAGTATTAATCTTTGTATCCCTACAGCCCAGCACCAAAAAGAACCTAGTGTACCCAGGAAACGCTCAAGAAACATTAACCTGAGAACCGAACTATGTCTATCTCAGCACCCAATGAGGTTACAAAGTCTAAATAATCCTTAGATACAGATATACTGGACAATATCAAAAGTGACAACATGATCACAGAACAGCAGCTCCTTACCTGTTGTTGTACTGGTACTTGCTGCACCACCTGTGTAGGCACTGCTGCTTGACTAGCCACAGATGTTTGTAAAGTCACTGTCGAACCTGTGTCCGACCCGGTCTCTGATGTCTGCATGATGGTCTCTGAAATATATCGAAATAGAAATAAAGTTTAAAATGTTCTCCCTAAATGATTATTATTATTACATTTGTTCTTAATACCCTATACTGAGACCAACTTTAAACTCTCATAATACCTCTTATCCCAACATACTGCCATAACAGTCCATGCATGTTTATAATCATTCTGACCACTTTTTAAATAAATACAAAAAACCACTAATTCACATTCTTTTACAAAAAAAAAAAAACCCTATTAGTACCTCTTATCCTAAGGCTATAAAGATTAAATTTCATTGAAAGCGACCTTCCTTAGAACACATGTTATAAATTATTTCAATTCCTTTATAAATTATTATATCAAGATACTCAATACGAGGAACAGAAAACCTAACTGTATAGAAATGTCATGAACTCTACTTTATTTCTATCTTCTGTCAGGATGTCTCTAGGGTACAGTTTAAAATAAATCATTTCTAAGGTCTCTTCTAACTTTAAAACTTAGTTTTGTGATCTAGAAAAAAATAATACATATCCAAAAAACAAATGATATACTTTAAACTTAGCCACAGAACCAAGTTTACTAATTTTCTTTGCCTATGGTATGACATGGTACTAAAATCAAAATTCAATTATAGTCTTACACAAAGATAACCAAAAATCAATATTTCATTTTTTGAAAGATGGAAAGGACCAATGTTATGTAAATAAGATTTATAGACAAATACATAAAATTTAACTTTCTCATTCACAATTAGACATGCAACATTTTTCAGCTCTTTTGTGCCTGACCTGCTTGACAAGGATTAAGTTTTGTAGTGTTTATTTTAACAAGTATGCTTTCTCAGGTTTCCTGGCCTTGACACTCCCTTTTGCTACTGATACATTCAATTAAATAAATATGAATTTCTTTGCTATTGAGTAGTGCCTGGATGTCTAATATTCTTTCCTAGGGACAAACATTATATAATTGATAGCCTAAGAAGAAAACTGCTTCATAGTTTAAATCTGTGAAGAATATGGTGAACATTAATTTTCCCTAAGAAAATTCTGAAAGAGTATCCAATTCTTTCAAGGAGAAAATTAGTCCCTCTTAGCATCTTTTGTCACACAGCATGACCTCTTCTAATTCTTCCCCCCAAATCTTCTACCCTCTCATTCAATTTTAGAAATGGCCCTCTGAAGACATCAAATCTACTCTTCTTACTTTATATATTAGATTAAGAGACTTGCTCAAGGTGACAGAAGTGGGCATGGGACTGGGCCTTTTCACTTTGAATTGGTGCTTAATTGTCTTTCTAGGCTTTGATACTTGCATCTCTTTAAGTAATTGGGTATTTTCTTATTTTTTTTGATAGTGAAACCCTAAAGTCGCACAACAAACCTTAGTACATACAACAGGTACAGCAGTAAAAGATAGCACTGATTGTTTAACATACACTATAAACTTTTCTGAATGCTTTCCATGTTAATTCATAAATAAACTAATTCATGTAACAACCTGAACCTCATGTACATAGTGAAGGTGGCTAGGGGTTTACAAAATAAAAGGAAAATGGTGAAGACTGTGACTAATACAGCACTCCATTTATATAGATTAGCTAATGCTCAGCCCCAGGATAGCATGAATATATGGGAAGGCCAATCTGAAGATACTAGTTCTTTCCATTTTCCAAAAGAAGTTGAAAATCTGATTATTATGTGAAATCTCACAAATGGTAGCTCATTTATTTAAATATAATATTGATCTACACACACACACACGCACACACACACATATTTTTGGACTACATTAAGTCCAAACATGCCCCAAAATTTTGGAGAATGACCGAATTCACTACGTGAAATTTGTCTAAGATTACTGGATGACCAATGGTTCTCAAAATTTGGGGAGAATACACATAATAAGAAGCCAATCTATGCCTCTTCCTCTTTCTTCAATCATGGAGTAGAGGGGAAACACCCTCCTAAAAATGAAAGCAAAAGCCAGGGTCCTTTGTGCTAAGGCAGAGGAAGTAAGTAAGAATGAGGCAATTCTCCTCTGCAAGGAATGAGGAATGAACCAGATATCAGATATCATCTTCAGTGAGGTTTTTTTTCAGCCTCTCTTGCCAACTCCAAGATGGCTGGTAGTCCTTGTCAGTTTAGTATCCAGATAAGAGAGAAAGGGTTGCCAGTTATAGCTTTGCCTTTAAGTTGCTCAATCAAGAGTAAATGAGTTTCTTACAGGGAAGTCACTCACATTAAATTTTTCTCATATTTTCCCCAGAGCTGGCTGGGAAATTTACCAAGGCTAATTCATGTGAACATATGTTGTATCACAGATCCATACTTTGATATTTACTGTTTTAAACCAAGCACATGCAAGAATGTAAATAAAGTTATCTTTAAAACTTAAACCTACTTTAAAAATAATTCTCAGCCATGTACAGTAGCTCACACGTGTAATTCCAGCACTTTGGGAGGCTGAGGCAAGAGGATTGCTTGAGGCCAAGAGCTTGAGACTAGCCTTGGCAACATAGCGAGACCCCGTCTTGATCAAAAAGATTAAAATTAAGAATAAAAAATAATTATTAATAACACCCAATTAACTTTCTGGGAGAGCATATAAGGAGATAAAAGGCATAGATTTGGAAACTGGCTTCCTATGGGCTATAAGAAACTCCACAGACAGGTTTTGTTTGGTTCAGAAAGATTACAAAATTCTTAATTGCCAACATTTAAAAATCAGGTAACTTTGCATTAAAAAACAAATTTCCAGATTTTCTTGAAAAATCTCAAAATTCAAAAAAAGGTGAGTCCATATTGTGTTTTATAAGCAAATGATTTCAAAGGCTAAACTCATTCAATTGCCTGTCCTCTACAGACATTTGAGTCTGTGACTCCGGTGAAGGTAATCAGAAACCTTATTCCTACAAATACATACTGAGTTGGAAAATTGTTTTATGAGTTTAAACCAATATTGATGGCATTTAAATTGATATATTTATTAGACAAAGAGTAATACCCAAGCTTAAACCATTTTACTGATAGAAATGTGTAACTAGATGATTGAAACTGTGATTTTCCTCATTTTACAGATAAGTCAACTGAGGCCCAGAGATGTTAAGTCACTTACCCAAGGCCATACAGCTAGGACATAAGAAAGGAGGGTTTGGGCATCACACTAAAGCCGGAGCACTAACCTGCTAGACCAAGTTGGAAGTTCTGAGTTTCATAATCGACACTGCACAGAGAGAAGTAGAGAGAGTAGAGAAAAGCAAACTGGTGAATTTTTAGCATGAGGGGAGAAAAAAAACTACATAATAGGAGGAATCGTTATACAAAAGAATTGGGGAAATAAGACAGATAGAAAACAATGGCATATAAAACTTAAAGCTAAACAGTCATGAAGAACATTCAATCCAGTCTCTGGCTCTATCAGCACATCACATCAAAACTGTTACATTAAAGCCCAAGCCTTGACAACCAAGTAGCAGACCAAGTATCTACCAAGTTCCATATTATCTTCTGTTAATTCCCAAATTACTGCTCATTGGCCCAATCTACTTGGCTCGTGAATTTTAGGGTCATGCCAACTGATAAAAATTTAGCTTGACAGTTTTGTCTCCATTTTTCCTTCACAGACATAACTTCATTCTCCTCTGATTTCTATATTTTCCTCAGTTGGATAAAGAGGCTCTCTTTGCCTTGCCTCATAACTTAATAGGGTCTCAGTCACATCCCTTCCAGAGATTGGCTCAGAAGGTTATAATCATAATGGGGCCTCTCATTTAATAAGTCATTTCCTGGTGCTAGGCACTATGCTAAGTGCTTTAAATACGTTTTCTAGTTTAATACTCAGAAGAAACTCATGATGAGGTGTTATTATCCCCACTTAACAAATGAGGAAAGTGAGGCACAAATGGATGAAATAACTTGACAAAAGCCACACAGCTAGTAAGAGGAAAGCCTCAATTCAACCTAGGACTGTCTGATTCTAAAGTTTATGATGTGAACCACTGCATATATTGCTTTGCAATATCACGATTACAGGGTTTCCAAACGAAGAGCTAGAGTCGCTTGATCAGAACAGCAGTCTTCGAGGATCTCAGTCAATACTATATGATCTATACACTTCCAGCAGTGGTAAAAAGACATTCCTCTACCTGTGACACCAAAGTTAGAAAGTATTTCCTCGCTTTCAACTGAGGCCATAACAAAGCCCAATTAAGTAAGTATTTTTCCAGAACCATTTTAATGCATTGATTCTAAAGGCCTGATTTAACAGCAGATCAATTAGAATGTTGAAGCATGTTTGAGAATAACCCTCCTATCAAATGTTGCTAAACAGATCATTTAAACCCACTAATACATTTGTAGTATTCTGGAGGCTTTCCAACATTTCTGCAAAGTAAGTATCGTCGTCACATGAAAGCAGTGTCTTCACGTGTTCCATTTTAGATTTTGGTTTACTCCCAGGATAATAGTTTATAAGTAGATGTGAGGTGTTATCCATCCAGCGGTGGTTTCTGGTGTTCTGTTTATGTTTGGGAGTAATTTGGTTAGGTTAGCTCCTTCACAGACTCCTTTCAAGTGATATTTGTTTATCATTCACAAATGCAGTCACATTAATCCATTTTGATAAGCTAAATAAGCCCCTGCAGTTTGTCAATGATGCAGCCTATATGTAAATGAGCTGTATATTCTTACAGGAGAGACATGCACAATTTCAGTCTAGTCATCCTTGCCTAATGTGGCTGTCAGGTGTGTCATGAGCAACAGATGCTTGTTTGACAAAGGACCTTTTTATTCTGGCTAATTAAGCAGTTGGACACACCCGCCTGTTAACGGTTCTGCTTTGAACAGCCAGCTCTGGCTGAATCATGCGAATCTACAGCTAAATAGGCCACATTTTGAAAGAAGGCTAATTAACCCCTAGGAGAAGGAAGAGAATATTGCAAAAACCCAGCTGCTGAATGCAACAAGATTAGCATTTCTTCAACCTGATGGGCAAAACCTAGGCAAAGCAAATGTGTTTGGAA